TAATAAAAGCTCATATGTTAATTTCTGTTAACTTTTCATCCAATCAATTCCAGTGGCAAAAAATCACTTTTTGACGCAGTCCATGCTGTTTGTCCACGTACTAATTATCATGTATGTTTTTATTCAATAATTAACTTGTATTAATCAATTAATCATTGTTGTATGTGGAGAACTTCTCGGCGTTTGTATTCGTGTTAAATTTTTCATAATAATATCATATGTTTTCAAATAGATTGTACGTAATTCTAATATCATAACTAGAATAAATAAATTCAAATAAACAGTTTATATAGACAGACATGTGTATATTTAATTTATACATACATCGAATATCGTCAAATATTTTTAAATCTAATTCTTGTAAACATTTATAATAATCTTCAACTGTTGGATATTTATTTAATAATTTAATGGTATCTAAACGTCTCTTGTAATAATCTAATAATAAATCATAATTTGTACCAACAATTATTTCCATATCTTGAATTTCTTTTAACACTTGTAATTGAATTTTTACACCTTGATTATTACCCGATTCACAATTGGGTAAATGTAATTTAATATAACAACATAATTTTAATGATGATAATTTATAATGTTCTAAATAAGGTTTTAATAATTCAATTAATTGTAAAATAATCGAATTCGATTGATAATGACAATAAAATTTGGATTTTTTTACAATTGAACAATTTTCTTTTGTTAAATATTTACGTTTATTACTACCAATCAGGGTTTCATGTTGAACGGTTGTTGATGAGTCATGACGATATTCTAAAAGTAGAGAGATTTGTTTGTGATTCTCTTACTACTCAGTTCTATTTTTATCAATATCCCATAAAAGTTGGATTTTGACGCTATAAATCGGATTTTAAGATTTTCGAAAACCATATATTGAATTTCCTAACCAAGAAATTGTTCGAAAGAAAGTGGAGTGACATGTCCTTAGATGCAGAATTTAATTCTCTACAAAACTGCTTATTAATTTTTGCGGTTACTGTCTTTAAATCAGCCGTACATATTTGTACAGTTTCCAACTTTCTGTAGAACTTCCGGTTTCCTGAGAGGCTGTAGAAGCCTAATTCTTGTGTAGAATGATTACAATCGATGAAAAATCAAAGCCCTGTTAATATGAAAAGTTTTCGAACTTGCTAAGTGCCCCAAAAGAGGTCTACAAAAACTGTGTCACTGCGTTGCGTTTTTCTTTGATATTTTATAACTCAAGAAAAAGAGTAATCAGAAAAAATCTTTTACTATCAGGTAGCTGATTGAAAAAGCTATACAAACTTCTCTTGCAAGTTTCTTGTTGCTACACGAATGAGCGAGAAAATCTTCGTTTTATGATCACTGGTTGCAGTTTAGGTGTCCTTTTTTATCACTGCGTTACGCTCCGGAGAATCTTTCTAGCTCCTTAAGAATCAGATCCAATGACTTCTTTCAAAATACTTCTATCTTTAAATATTTCTATCTTAATGAATCTGGTTTTAGCTTTTGTGAAAATCTATTTAAATGCATTTTCTCTTTTATTTGGAGAAAAAAGAAATTTAAATTAACCTTTTACAAAAGCTAAAGCTAGATTCATTGAGTAAGAAATGAATTTAAACAGATTTTTCTAAAAGAATTTTAAAAAAGAGAATTTAAATAGTTTGTTTTTAAAAAAAGAAAGTCGATTTAAGTTGATTTTTGCATTAAAAAAATGGCACATTTCTTTAAAAATTGTGTCACAATGCATGTGCAATTTAGGCACTAATCTTATCGAAAATTGTTCAAATAATTAATAGTGAAACGCAATAGCACCGCAACATTCATCAGATGACATGTCAATGTAAACCTTACTCGCATTTGATTTGTACATTAGACACGTAGGAAAATCAGTTTTTTTCTTTTCAATATTTTTATTTGAAACGATCATAGATGCAAAAGTTAATATAAGCGCAAAACTATACAATGAACATAATTTTTTATGATATTGTTCGTTGTTTTCTTTTTGTTTACATCCAAATAGTAGTTCCACAGAGAGACTATCTACATCAGTTCGCATTGATCTGGCAATTTATCGTTTATTGTTTTTTTTATACTGAATTCACTCCTAGCTTAGTTCGTGAATATAAAGCCGAATTGTAGACAACTTGGAATAGAGTTGACAATGCGTTGGTGTAGATGCCACTAGTGAACTGAGTTTAGAAACGAGTCTAGAACACGGATTGCATGCATGGTTACAAATTCAACTTTGCAAAAAATCAGCAGTGAAGCTAATATAAGAACACAGCTGATGCATGTTTATGTGAATGGGTTTCTTGATCAAATCGATCTCCAATGATTAGTAGAAGAAATGTTTTCCATAGAGAAGTATGAAAAACCCTTATCAGCATAACTGAGTATCTGATTCGGGTCAGCATCAAACATTACGCCTAATCATGTGGGTTTCAAGATAAAAGCGATGGATCACTTGGGGACCTTCTATTATAAGATATTCTTCATTCATGCGGAGCGCCTCTTGTCTGCATACCTAAAACTCACAAGCCTTCACCCGAGAAAAAGTTATTTTTTCTCGAAGTCTAGTGATGCTGAGCCTCGTAGGGGTAAAATGTAGTGAGGCTCAATCCTATCGAGTAGGGATGTTCAGTTCTCGGTTCCGAGACCGAGAATCACAGTTCTGACTCGCGGCTTAGAACCGAAACGAAAGGAATCGCGGTTCGGGTTGCAAACTTAGAACAGAAACGCGGTTCTCGGTTCTCAGCTTAGAAGCGGACAATAGTTTTTCAGGCATTAATAATTCAACGAAATAGAATTCATCTTATAGTAAACGAAAGGATTCTTTTAAGTGATGACAGACAAATATATCTTTTTGTAGCTTTGTCAATAGTGTGTTTTTATTTTGCGAAAAGAAAGGCAGGTCAAAAAGTCTCGGTTCCGAGAAAAAGGAACCATCTAAGAAACCGCGATTCCGGTTTCATTGTCAGAACTGACAGCGAGATTCTGTTTTCCGATGAAGAACCGAAAATAAGAGAACCGCAGTTTCGGTTCTTAATGAGAACCGAACATCCCTACTATCGAGTCTCGTGGTTTCGCTGTCTAGAGAAGTAGGACATAGTATGTGTCCATTTTCTTTTTGAAAAATAGTATTATTGAGATATATCGATATTGATACAAGAGTTGTTAAGTCAAAGTTCTTAGAAGCAGAAGGAAAATCCTTAAAAACCAGAAGACTTATTTTCTACTCAAAACTCGGGAGGAAAATGAAAGTCTTATTTATTTATTTATATTTATTTAGTTTTTCTCCAGAAACATCTCAGTCATTCTAGAACTGAATTTCTCTTACGTTTTCTGCTCTTCTTTTCACATATTAGTGCTACAGGCTGAACATCTTATTGCTTCAGTTTTATCATAATAAGCTGCTTCTAAACCTATGTCTACACTACATCACTCGGATGAGCTGTATTTGTAGACAGCTCGTCTAAATCGGATGGTATATAAGCACGTATATATATGTGAGTTTATTCGGAAAGAAATAGAAAAAAACAGAACGAGTAAGTTTTTTGAATATTTTTGCAGATTTTCACAATCTTCATTTTCTCCAGTAGAACACAACATTAAAAATAGTGGAAAAATTACGAAAAATCAGATTTGGCTACCCTGTTTAATAGAGGATGTGCACTGTATTTTGAGGCGTATATGACAGTGCTCGTTGATGTGTCAAACATTCGAAAAAAATTAATCATCAAGGTGATTACGACTACAGGCGTTATGGCTAAAATATAAATGACTCTTCTGCTACTACCTGTTCCCCTCCCACATATTTTTATTCTATTTAGTAACGTTACATAGAGCAATTAGCGTTTGCACCTTCTCGATAGTATATATTATATATATATATATATCAACTGCAAGCTTCATACAAAAACAAAGGATTTCTCAAATTAATAATGTTCGGTTTTCGACGCAAACAAGCATTTAGACCAAATCAAAGGGTAAGTTAGGGTCTTTCGGTTTGTAAAATCTTTTCATACGAGAAGCAGCAAAAAATGTACATTATTTTGTGTAACTCCTCTCCTGAATTCCTCTGGAACAGGAAGAATAAGGAGTGAAAATTTGTAAAGGGAGAAAGTGCTGAAAATCTGAAAATTTTACCTCCCTCCTCCCCCTAACGCTTGCGAACGTACGCGAACCCATGGACAATACCGAATATACATTGTATACGAGGACTAGCTAAAGAAAATATATTTAGCAGAAACAGAGTTTCAAAAAATTACCCATATATTCCAGAGGCGGCGGAACCACTAGGCTGGGTAAGGCTTAAGCCTTACCCGGATTTGGCTCTGTTAGGCTGAGCCTCACCCCATTTTGATGTAGAATTTTGAATTTAGCACTATGTTATTTAGATAATACTTGGCTACATTGACAGA